AAAAAAAAAATACTGTGCCCCTTAAATTTATGGCAGCTCGTTTGGTCCTGCTTGATATTGCTGTGTAAAAATAACGGCTCATCCATCCAGTTTCCGTCAAAGAAGGAAGTACCGCAGTTTAGCGTTTCCGATAGAAAACTGAGCCCCTCGCCAAATGATGTCCAACGTCTATTTTAGTTTCAGTCCGCTCAAGTTTAGCCTAGGCAATTTCAGCATGAAATCGTTCATCAGTATAAATTAGCCACCTCATCTTAAGTGATCTGGCTGGTTTTTTAAATTTTTCGAATTTGTCTAGAAAACTTGTGCCTCTCTGGTTAACTTTAGCGTTCCTGAGCCCACACCTTGGTTTATTTTCTCATACGCGATCTCGTCTCCTACTGCTTCTCCCGTTTGTTTCATCACGACAAATTATTTATTATTTTGTTACAGTGATCTGATAAGCTGGCGCAAATTCTATTGCATCGCCAATGTCCTCAAAATGTCGGACCGGAAGGACCGTGCTCATCTCTTTAATACCGTGTTGTTGAAGGCAATGACATGCGAATGCAAAATTTGAACAATCATGAAAAGTGAAAAGCGAGCGCTTGCTGTGAGAGATAGCGATGGAACGAAAGATGCTTGGTGCATACTTCACTGACTATATAAACAATCAAACTCTTCCGTCAGATGAGTAGCGTGCAGGGTATCATTGTGATTACGCAAGAAAGTAAGATCCGATGGTCGTAACATGCTAGTCGCCTTGCCAACAAACGATGTACGACGAGCATTAGTAAGTGGTACCCACGAGAAAGTAAACGACTACTAAGATGATCCCCGAAGAGTTGGCATGCATAGATCGGATAGGCGGTGGGTTCTAATTGGAGGTATACAGCTCAGGATCGAAGGGTTTAGCACAACTGTGCTCGGCTTGTGAGAGCATCCTAATAACATTAGTAACAGAACAAACCCACACTTATAGCTTGGGCGGTTTTGATATTATGGTATTGATTCGATAAGCAGCACTAAACAAATCGAAACTAGCACTGCGCCTGCTCTTCAAGTTGTGTTTTCTAATGCTTAAAATGATAACGGAAAAATGATAACGGAAATGGTAACGGAAAACAAACCTCCCGGGTTTGTTGATCCCATCTTGAGAAATCTCTCGTTGAATAAGTTTTCTATGAGCTCAAACCTATAGATTTAACAAATGGACTTTCGAGGGAACTGCCGATGAATTTCGAGACTCGACGATGCTCGTTTAGTGCATAGACACTTGCCGTCGTTGTTAATCGGCACTAAACACTGGTGCTCAATCTGAAAACATCTCTAATCACTGATAATTCGCTTCCGTGCAGACCATAAATCAGGACGGCATCGAAACAGGTGGCACTCCAGAAATGCATCAAAATTATTGCCATCTCATTTCCGCAATAGTTTTTCCAAAAATCAGACAGAACCGGCGCTTTTAAGCTGAAACATGGCAACCGAGGGGAATGAGGCAAACGTGGTTGCAGCCCGAAAACACCGGATAACCAGCCTGCTCCACATGAAGGACAGCCGCAAAAGATAGGATGGAATGATGACGAGGAATAAATTCATGAAACGGAATACTCGCACCCTTTCAGATTTCCGGCAAATGGAAATGTGCAACCGGTCACCAGATATTACATCCAAACAGTGAAAGAAATAATAGGAAAATTTGAAATTATTATTTCAGCGCGCTTCGGCCGATCCTGGAAACAATGAATTTGCCAATGTAACGTGGATGACGCAGGGAGTCGGTGCGACGCTATTACTACGTTAGAGAATGAGGATGCAAAAGAAATTCCGGAATAATTATAGGGAGCTGCATCCCCAGGAAAAATAGAAACCATGTAAAAATAACAAAGGTCGCTTGTAGGTCGAAAGCGCCCCTCCAGATGACCCACGATTAGCAGCATTTCTATGCGCTCCTTGATACTCCCTGCTCCCATAATGCCACTGCAGAATACAGCATCGTTCATTCCTATTTTTATCGTAATAAAAGAAGTATAAATGTTAAAATGAAAAGAATTATAAATGCTAGAAATGACGTCGGATGCTCCCACCGTTCTGCTCCGGCGTTTGATGTCCACCGACCAAATGTCATCGATCTGGGGATATTTACTCCATCGAGCCACTTGCATCTCTGACCCATCATCAGTGCAATAAAATACTCATGCGGCTGACCACCTGTCATAATTTGCTGCACCAGAACTACTTCAAAATCTGCTTGTACCTTCTCCGCCCTTTCTTGTAAATGTTGTGAAGAATTAAACACTGAAGAAAATAAAAATTGGCCAACGCACGGGCTGCCCGTGCGAAGATGCGTTTTTTGCAGAGTTCCCCGC